TAAAGAAAAAACAAATCATAATTGAATATCGAAAGGCGATTATATTTTAGGGCATTTGAATGCTTTTATTGACGGATGACAAAAGTGTCAGGTCAAAACAATACTAGGACCAAATGAGGATGTTATGATAAAAGGTGACTAAAAATAAACTTTCCTAAATAAATCTAGTACCAAAAATGAAATTAATTCTTTATAGAAAAGTTCATAATCTTTATCAAAAGTATGCTTTGAGTGAATCAAATCTTGTGACTTTAACCAGCAAAAAAACAATTATAGCGGTCAGAAATTTTGTTTCTAATATAATGAAAAAAATGATAAAAGCTATCCATAAATTTTCTCTTTTTTCCATTAAAAAACAAAATCATTGCAGTAATATTTTACAAACACTAATGAATAATGGAATCCTGTTTCATAATGAATGTCTTAAAGAAAATATCAAGAAACTCCTTTTCTTTTTTTGTAAAAAAAAAAAAAAAACCAAACAAGAAACTCCTTTAATTTACCAGAAGCTTATTAAGAACCAGAATCCGCCGCAGCGGCGGCGGCAGGAGCAGACATCTTACGACGGCAGAGAGGGCAGGAAGGGCTTATCTCAAGCCAAGATGAGAGGCAGTCGTCGTGAAATAAGTTATGGCTGCACGGCATCACAGCCGCATCTGTCCCCTCCGTTAACTCCTCCAAGCAAATAACGCAACGATTACCGCCGCACTCTATTCTCTTCCTCTTTAACGACTTCACTTGGAAACCGCCATCGGAGGCGGCGGCGCCACCATTTACTCCCTCCACTGCCTCTCCCAAATCTCGATCATCCTCGTACGTTTCTTGAACGTCGCCGAAACCTGGCATATGAACCGTCCGCATGTCAACCTGAATAGTACACTTATACTCCCTTGCTTTATCGATCACTTCGTCGGCTATGTCAAAGCCGGTGTCACCGTCAATAGGCCAGAACCTCAGCCCTTGGCTGGAGATGAAATTCCGGCAGTCCTCCGGGAACCGGGTCAACCTCTCCGCCTGCAAGTCGTCGCTCAGACATATGGTTCGCGATTCTTCCCCGTATCCAACATCATCGTCAAAGTCGTCAGCTGTGCGGTGAGAGAAGCGGACATGGATGTGAGGCTGAGACGGCGCAGAACAGGAGGCGCAATCTTCTCTGACTGTGGGATTCGGCCACACAGAATAGAATGTAAAATAGTCGGAATAGTCGGAATAGTCGTCGTCGGAATCGCTGTCGGAATCGGAATAGTTGTCGGAATAGTGGTCGGAATAGTCGTCCTCGGAATAGTCGTCGCCAAAACCACTCTCCTCCATTGATCCTTTCTTCCTCTTGCTCTTCCGCGCAGCTTTAATAAATAGGCGGATTACGAGACGTTGTTTGCTAATTCTTATTTGCCTGGAACTTGAGTTGTCCAGCTTTTACGGAAACTTACTTGAACCCCAAGTTAGAAGTTACTAAGAAATTTTAGCAAATTATTAATTGATCTTATATTTGTATTTTTGCGTGGTTAATTAGGGATGTTAATTTTATCATAAAATTTATGAACGGTTAAATTGAAAATTTTTAGGGTTTGGACTTTGGACCAAAATATTTTAATTATATAAAAAATTAGTTTAATTTGATAAGTCTAATAATCTGAGTCACTTAAAAGGTTAATTTTTGTTAAAGAAGTGATGTGCAACAAAATATACATAAAGTTTATTTGTATGTTCATTTTAGTATCTTTTTTATTAAGTTTTTAAATAAATTTTTAAAATATATTTGTAAATTTATTACTATAAATATTATATTATAGTATGTTATATTGTAGCGTAAGTATATTAATTATTTTTATTTTATGAAAATAAATAAAAAAAAAAACTCACTATAAATATTATATTATAGTATGTTATATTGTAGTGTAAGTATATTAATTATTTTTATTTAGAATTTAGAAATGGAAATTGAGATTTGGATTGATTGCATGATTTATAATTTTATATTTATTAGTATAAGTTTGCTAGTTTATTTAAATTGAAAGTTTAGAATATTAATTTGAAAATGTCAAAAGTTATTGCTGAACTCAGTCGATAAGCTGACAGTTTGAGATTTTTACGAGTAAGGCTAAGAATTTTGAACCCGTCCTGAAGGCTCAATTGATAAGCCTGACAACTTAATAGGGTTAGTTCAAAATAGAACGTGCTGGCAATATCCTATGGCTATTGTAAATAATTACATTTAAAAAAAAAATTAGGGCTATTAGTTTTTTGTTTTTTTTTTTTTTTTTTTTTTGGCATTCAATTTTTTTTTTTTTTAAATTTTTTGAGTTTGAGCTCCACTCGACTCCAAGATCAATTTTTTTAAAAAAAAAATCAAAATTACAAATCCATTATGCTTTTATATATAAGTTAAATTAGTAATATCAATGTTATGAAGTGAAGTAAATTTGAAATAATTAATACTATGAAGTGATGTGATTTTAGTAGCCAGGGTACATAGAGTAGCATTTTCCTTCACGTTTAATTTTTGTGTAAAGGAAAATACTATTTTCTCTCAAAAGTTTTTCCTATTGCCTAATCCTACATACTCTTTATCAAATACTCCGTAGTAAACAACCTAACTATACTCAAGGACCTAGTTAATATTAAGACATTTATATATAAATATTATATTTCAGTTAAATAATATTATACGTCTTATTTGAGAGGCCGGGTTTCACATGCACAAGACCTACTAAAAAAATGTTGATTGATGGAGATAAGGATCAAGACCCGAAAGAGTGAGCATGGCAGACAACACGATTAAATGAAGAGTGAGCGCGCAAAGATATTTGACGAGGTTTTGAGAGGTCAGAAGAAGAGAACGGCAATTAGGATCACAAAGTGAAATTTGTGTCATACACACTGTTAAATTGTGGTTATAGGTTTCTAATGTAGCAAAAATGAGTGATGGTGAGTGTACGGATGTGTAATCTCGTCCTCAGGGGATTGGAATCTATGACACGCAATACGCAATCACAAAAATTTTACTTTGGTTCGTAACTCTAGTTCAGGTGACAAATATGATCGGGTGAATTCCTTTGGATAGAGAAACTTCTTTAGTTAAACTTTCACTAAGCTCTTAAAAGTTACCCAGGTTGGTATTGACTATAGACCATCAGGTGGATTCCTTTGGATAGAGAAATATGAGTAATGCAATGCGTTTTTCATTTAATTATTACGTACAGTACTATTATAATTAGATTTTTTTTATTTAAATTTAATTTCTTAGAAATATGTTCCCTAGCTATCATTTTGTATTTACAATTTTCATTGTCTTACCAATATAGAAGAAATAAAGACGCCGATAAAATTTTTTTTAATATATATATATATATATATATATATATATATATATATATATATATATATATATATATATATATATAAAGTATCCTCTATGAAGAGGATGCCGCGGATACAAGTAATTAAAAAATGAATAAATAAATACTTTCCGTCACATCTACCTGTGCGTCGCGGATAGTATTTAATAATAAAATATTAAATGACTTTTCGAGGCACCTGTGACAAGGTGCATCGGAAAGTCTCTATTAAAAAAAATAAAAAATCCTTATTTAGCTTTTCGTTACACTATATACAGGTGTCTCGAAAAACTAAACACTTTCAGAGGCTCTGGAGTCCGTGACTTGAAAAGTGTTTTATAGGTGACTTTGAAAGTATTTTTTATACTAGCTAGCTAGTGAATTTATTAAAATTAGACATTATAAATCGTGTAATTTATGATTTAAGATTTTACTTCGAACATATATTACTTATATCTTTAATTTATAGAAAGAGAATTTCATTTTTTTTAATTCTAAATTTATAGATGACAGTCCACTTTTAATTTATTATTATTTTTTTTTTTAGGGAAAATGGCACTTTTTACCCTTGAGTTATATACTTATAGCACTTTTTCCCCCTCAATTATTTAGGTAAGCACATTAGCCCCCTCAATTATTATAAAAGTGGTGCTTTTTCCCCCTGATATATTAAATTGACATTTATACCCTTAAAGTAAACATTTTATTTATTTTACTACTCCAACAAATTATTGTATATACGTAGGGATGACCACGGTTCGATTTGAATTGAACCGGATACTAAAACAATCGAATTAATAGTTTACGGTTATAATTCAGATCTAGAACCCAATATTTAAATGTCAATTTATTAAAATTATGTATCAAAAAATTGAATCTTGAACCGTGAACCAGCGGTTCCGGATCTGATTCGCGGTTTTGAACCGTCTTTATTTTAAAATTTTATTTTTTATTTTAAAATAGTCCAAATTCAACAATAAATGTATTTTATTTTTTTTCGGAACATGAACCGTCCGTTCCGGTTCACGATTTTAATAAACTCTAAATATCGAATTTCGATTCTAAATTGTAATTGGAATATTTCGGTTTGGTTGCTATAGTGTTTGTTTAGTTTGAACCAAATTATAGTCATAATTTGTTGGAGAAAAAAATAAATTAAATATTTAGTTTAAGGGTAAATATGTCCATTTAACATTTCAGTGGGAAAAACAGCCACTTCAATAACTTAGGGAGAAAAAATGCTATAGGTATATAACTCAGGGGGAAAAAGTGTCATTTTCCCTTTTTTTTAATATCAAAATAGCCTTATTTGGTCATAGTATTAATATTGTGGCATGACCATTTTTGATCATTTATAAATAAAATCATTAAAATATCATTAAATACAAGAACATTTCTATAGTTGAGTATATATATATTGTTAAGTTAATATGAGTATATCCAATTTTGTCCCATGCATTAAAAAACAAAATCATTTTTGCAGTAATATTTTACAAACTCTAATGATCATATGAGTAGAATCAGAATCCCTTGACATTAAAAAACAAAATCATTTTTGCAGTAATATTTTACAAACTCTAATGAATAATGGAATCATGTTTCATAATGAATGTCGTCTTAAAGAAAATACCAACAAACTCTTTTAATTTACAAGAAGCGTAATTAAGGACGAGAATCCGCCGGAGCGGCGGCAGGAGCAGACATCTTACGACGGCAGAGAGGGCAGGAAGGGCTTATCTCCACCCAAGATGAGAGGCAGTCGTCGTGAAATGAGTTATGGCTGCACGGCATCACAGCCGCATCTGTCCCCTCCGTTAACTCCTCCAAGCAAATAACGCAACGATTACCGCCGCACTCTATTCTCTTCCTCTTTAACGACCTCACTTCGAAACCGCCATCGGAGGCGGCGGCGGTGCCATTTACACCCTCCGCTGCCGCTCCGAAATCTCGATCATCCTCGTACGTTTCTTGAATGTCGTCGGAACCTCGAATCTGAACCGACCACATGTCAACCTGAAGATTACACTTAAACTGCCTTGCTTTCTCGATCACATCGTCGGCGATGTCAATGACGGTGCCGAAGTCAATAGGCCAGTCACTCAGCCCTTCGCAGAAGATGAAATCCCGGCAATCGTCCAGCAACCGGTTCGACCCCTCCGCCAGCAAGTCGTCGCTCAGGCATATGGTTTGTGATTCTTCCCCGTACCCAACATCATCGTCAAAGTTGTCAGCTGTGCGGTGAGAGAAGCGGACATGGACGTGAGGCCGAGACGGCGCAGAAGAGGCGGCGCAATCTTTTGTGACTGTGGGATTCGGCCACACAGAAAAGAATGTAAAATAGTCGGAATAGTCGTAGTCGGAATCGTCGTCGGAATAGTCGTCGCCAAAACCACTCGCCTCCATTAATCCTTTCTTCCTTTTCCTTTTCCTTTTCCTTTTCCTCTTCTGCGCAGCTTTAATAAATAGCGGATTTGGAGACGTGTTTGCTAATCCTTATTTGACTAGAACTTGAGTTGTCCAGCTTTTACTACGGAAACTTACTTGAACCCCAAGTTACTAGAAATTTTAGCAAATTATTAATTGATCTTATATTTTGTATTTTTGCATGGTTAATTAGGGATGTTAATCTTACCATAAAATTTATGAACTGTTAAATTGAAAATAGGTTTAATTTGGATACCTTACCGGTAGTGACAGGTGAATTTGGAATGAGTAAAAGTAGTAATATTCATTTAATACGCAAATAAGTAAATAGGCAAGTATTATACACACACACATATGTGTGTTGGTTTTATGGCTATGCATGGGGTAGTAGGACGATGAGTCAACCCTTCCGTAAGTGTTAAGTAAATTTGAGAGAGAAAATTGACAGAATAATTTCACATGTTTTGAATTCAAAATTCGTTAAAATATGATCCAAAAATATTTATACAAGATATTTGAACCTTGCAAAAAGAAATGGAGAAAAAATTAACAAAATTGGAGTTAGGAAAGTTTCTATGCTGCTGTGCATATTTCCTAATATTGAAAACGTAAATCCTGCGCATCAAAATTGATAAAAATCTCCCCCAAATCTTCTTTCAAAACCCCTGAGTGTGGCATCCGATGATTCTGATCGGAACCCATTTGAAAACGTAAATCCTGCGCATCAAAATTGATAAAAATCTCCCCCAAATCTTCTTTCAAAACCCCTGAGTGTGGCATCCGATGATTCTGATCGGAACCCATCCGACTGTCTGTGGGGCTCACTCCAACCAGGCCAATTGGTGAGTTGTCTAGTGTGACCAAGCTGGGCAACTGAGATCCATTCATCCCCTAACATAAATAAGCGACCCTTAAACTCCCGACTCCATAGGGACACACCTGACCTGACTGATACCCAATTAAGGGGTATCCATCAATATATATATATATATATATATATATATATATATATATATATATATATATATATATCCTAACTTTTATACTTTCATGAATTTTTTCTCTTAATTTCTAAACTTTCTTTACCAACTTTTTCTTGCTAAATAGATCAACAAATCAAAGCTTTTTTATTCTTTTCATATATAAAACTTCTATGTATTGATTTTTATTCTTTTCTTATTTTATTCCTAGCATCTAAACTTTCTCTATTAACTTTTCCCCATAAATATTCAAACAAAGAAATTTTTTTATTTACCATTCCCAAATTTTACTATAGTTTCACAATATTCATATAAATACTTTTGATTTTACTTTTTTATGTTTATATTTGTAATAATTTTTTTTTTCCTTTTGTTTACCGCAAACTGTTGTTCACAACAATTTGAGAAAAAGAATTTTATCATATGAAAGTTAACAAAAGTTTCATTTTAAAAGTACTTAAAAACTACAAAAATCATACAAATCTTAACTATTGGTATGCCTTCCGCATTGATATCAGGATATGTATTCATCATGCTCTACGAAAGGCTCTCCTGCAGCGGCGGGCCGGAAATCATGCGGCGGCAGAGAGGACAGCAAAGGCTTCTCTCCAGCCAAGTTGAGAGGCAGCTGATAAGTGCATTTATGTCCATATTTTTACCCCTTGTATAGACATATTTTGTATGACAAACACTTTGATTTTATGCAAAGAAGTGTCTTAATTCCTTTGTTTATATCTTTTGATGCATAGTGTAGAGTGCAGGCAATTGTGTGCTTTTGAGGTATTTTGGATGAATTTGGAGTCAATGAGAGCCAAATATGAAGCTATGGAGATGGATGCAACACTTCCAAAGGAGTCTAGGGTGGTTCTTTCAATGGTCTTGGTCATGTGGGCAAACCAAAGCAAAAGAGAAGCAAGCACCATGCAATTGCAATTTCCAACCTGCACGTCGACGTCATGGTTCTTGGACCATATCTCAAGCTATAAACATCCAAATTACATGATTCTTGTCCCATTGCAAAGAAGACTCAAAGGGCTACAAATCATATTCAGACATCAAAGCCTAAAAAGGAAGCCACAGTGGTCAAAATCATCCTTGAAGTTGAAGTTCCGAACTTACAGATTTCACCCGAAACTGACCACTGTTTGGTAATTTGATCATATCTCGGCCTAGGATTGTCCAAATTAAGTGATTCTTGAGCCATTTGAAAGAAGATTCGAAGACCTATAAGTTTCATGAAGACACCGAAACCTAATTCTGAAGAAAAAAGGGTCAAAATTAGCCTGCAAGTCGAAGTTCTGTTGCAGATCAGCACTCGACGCGTCGAATCCTGGCAGAATGTCGAGCAGCCCATCTCTGTTTTCTTTTGACTGCGTTATAACTCATTTTTTGGAGAAAAAAAGAGGGGGGAGAACCCTAGATAGCAAGAACTCGTTTTCCTTTCATTTCCTTAGCTTAGATTAGTCTAGTATTTCATCTCTAACTCTTCTACAAAGCTTGTAATCATGGATTGGAGTGAGATTCAACCACAAAATCTTCATCTTCAATAGAGAAGCTTCTTACTCTTCTTCTTAAGCTTTTGTGTAATGTTTATGATATTTTCTTGTACTTTGTTGTTATTTATACTTATGAAGTGTGAGTAGTTCGTTTTTGGGCTTGGATTAGGGTGATATTGCCAACCTAGATGCTAAATAGGTGATTATTGCATAAGGGGGAAGAACCCTAACCTAGAGTTCATTTGTTTGAGTTGGTTTTATGTTGAATCTTGCTAATATTTGGTACGTAACTCTTATTAGCTTGCTTTTGGATAGTTCTTCTCCACAATGAAGGTTGGGTGAAGAACTTAAGCCTCTCCTTTCTCAAACCCCATTTTCTTTCTATGAAAATAGGGAAGAATTGGGGGCCTAAATGCTTATGTGCTTTAAGAGCTAGGAATTGATACACCATGAAAGTGGGGCAATCCTTGCTCTAATCCTTGTTCTTTAGCTTATGAAAATGGCTTTAAGCTAGGATTTTCTTGTGCATTGCCTTAATGTTCATTTGGTTGATGTTCTTCCCCTAATCCTTAAGTTGTTGAAGCATCTAGAAGGCAACATTCCCTAATTTGAGCCCATCTTTTATCATTGTGATTGCTTGTGTTTAAATTGCATTGTCTTAACTAGATTTTTAGCCCTTAATTGTTGACATTACCCAACCATGAATTTGAATTTGCTTGGATTCTTGTGGGTTCCAATACTTTGGTGCCTAGAACTTTAGTTGTCACTCAAGTACGTGCCATAGTCCCAATCCCTTGCGGAACGACAATTTACACCCGTATACTCACCACCTCTTTCCCGAACACCAGCAGCCGTAGTGAAAGGAACAATGGTTGCACGGCATCACAGCCACCACTGTCCCCGCCGTTAACTCCTCCAAGCAAATAACACAACAATCACCGTCTCCTCCGCCACAATCCCTCTCATCGTACTCTATTGTCTTCCTCTCCAACGACTTGATCGCCTCCCTGTTCTGATCTACGCCCCTCGTCGCCTCCGCTCCGGAATTCTCGCCGGATACTAAGATAATTTCGGTAGAATATGCTTCTGCATCGTAAGAAAGATATGTTACTTCTTCGTCGTCGAGACAGAACCACCATCAGAAAGATTTGTTAATTCATCGGTGAGAATAGAATCATTGTTGGAAAGATATGTTACTTCTTCATTGTCGAGGACAGTATCATCGCGGAAAAGATATGTTACTTCTTCATAGCCGAGAATAGAATTATTGTCCGAGAGATTTATTACTTCTTCATTGTGGATAACAGAATCATCATTGGATGCTACTTCTTCATGGCCGAGAATGGAATCATCATTGGAAAGATATGCTACTTCTTCATTGTCAAGAACAGAACCATCCTCGGAAAGATATGCTACTTCTTCAAGGATCAATGACTAGAATGTGTAGAATGGGGTGAGAAATTGCCAAAATGTGTGCTGACTTTTTTTTTTTGACAAAAATATGCAAAACTCTATTACCCGTTGCGTTTTTGAAGGTATTTAATCCGTTTTTTTTTTCGTTAAATACTTAAAACGCAACTACCAGTTGTTTTTTTCGTATTGTATACGAAAAACGCATCTCCCAGATGCGTTTTCATCTTACGTATTGAATACGTTAAAACGCAATTGGGAGATGCGTTTTACGTATTATACTTGAAAATACGTAAAACGCAAGACCAAAATGCGTTGTGTTTATCGGCGTATTTCGCCGGAGAAATTTACAAAAAACGCAAGACCGAATTGCGTTATTTGAATAAAACGTTAAAACGCTAAAACCACTTGCGTTTTATAGGCGGTTCCGGCGCCGATAGTTCGTTTTGTGTACTGTTCATCGGCTATTTAAGTATACTTAAAAAGACAAATATTAATAGAATGTGGTGTTGCACAGTTGGTTCAGCATGGTGATTGCGAAAAAAGTCCTTGCACAATTAATGCGACTTGCGTTTTGTGGTTCTCGCCGTCCTTCAAATTCGCCGGAGACGGTTGGTAAAAAAAAAAGTAAAAAACGCAACTTAGTTTTGCGTTTTACGTATAATACGTAAAACGCAAAAGTAAGTTGCGTTTTGGGGGATACCGTATGCGTTGGAAAACGCAAGAGCGTAATGCGTTTTATGTATACGAATACGTAAACGCAACTACCTCTTGCGTTTTACAGAAAAAAAACGAAAAAAAAATATTCACCAAAAACGCAACTCCCAAAGAAGTTTTACATATTGTTGTCAAAAAAAAAATACGACACATATTGGGAATTTGGGCTTGTTGACCGCACATTCTAGTCATTGATCCTCTAGCATTAGACTTGGAACCGGCTAAAGGTGACACAATAAAATTATCCAGCAAACCATCTCTTGTCAAATGAAGACTAGAGCCATGAGGTGGCCATGAAGAAACCAACAAAGTTGTTAAATTTACTGTCTGATCAATAAGCCATAGATGATAAAACCAACCACTTTGATCATCTGGATCTGTAAAAAGAGCATGGCGAAAGAACTCAAGCTTTTCTGTCAAAACATTCTCCTTGGGAGAATATCCTTTTACATTCTCCTTTAGCAAGCGAATCAGAAGAGCACTGTCAAAAGTCATTTGAACAAAAATTAGGATAAGAAATCCTTTTTGGGGAGAGGTTGACACATAAATATTTATTTAACAGCCTCCAGGAGAAAATTTTTTAAACAGCATCTAAGAATCAAACTGCTGCATTTTGATGGAATGCTAAATACGGATCTTGATGTATAGAATGTTATCGGTATCAAATACATTGTGTTATTTGGGGAAGAGAATCGGATTGACTTTTGGCAAATTAACAAAAACGTCCCTTATTTAGACGGTCAACTAATCAGATAATAAATAGATTAAAATTGTTCTTGTGTCTATAAATTGACAACATTTTTTTTTTATAAAAGATTAAAATTATCCATGCTATTATAAGCCTAGGATAAAAAAGAGAATTTAAAAAAATATGTAAAAATTTAATAGTTCAATTTTGTTTCTCGAGAAATATATTTTAAATTTTGTTGTGGCGTGCATTATAGTTAGCTAGACTTTGGCCCGTAAAAAATTGGCCTATAGGTTAATTTTGGCTTATTTGATCACTATTAATTTTTTGATTTAGTTAAAATATCAATATAAGTGTTTGGTTAATTAGCTTTTTACAACTCCAAAATACTAAAAATTCAAAAAACTACTCCAAACAACTATTTCAATTAGCTTTTTTAGAAAAGAAATTATACCAAACAAATATCAGCTAACAACTAATTTATCAAACACTTTTCTACAACAGCTAATGTTATCAACAAGTTATACCATCTAATTAACACAATCAGCTAATAGCTAACAGCTATCAATAACAGCCATTTACCAAACATGGCCTTTATATTCTACTTTCCCCATCGTGCTCCTAAAGTCATGCCCAAACGTGGCGTCTTGAATACTTCTAATTTCTAAATTAATAGGTGTATCCCATTCGAATGGGTCAGATTTTTAACTTTTTTTTTTTTTGAAAGTTACTGGCTCTATTACATTGTAGTATTTTTAACTTGATAATTATAAAATTTTAAATTTATTTTCACTATAAACAATTTTGTTAGACTTCTCAGTTTGAGCAAGTTAACTATAAATAATCTAAGCTGATTAATTTTAATGTGATCTTTTGCCAGTTAGAGTCACAATGTGAGCTCTATCCATAATACATATGTAGCGATTGTGAGTTTTCTCTTAATTTTTTCTTTTAACTTCTAAATTAATTAAAATATGTATTAACGTTTAACGATTGGTACTTGGGCATAAGGATGTGCGTAGGACGGGTTCGGACGGCTCGAGTTCACAGATGGTCATCCTGAGCGGATATCGGATACACTATTTAAGCTCTTATCATTTTTTTTTTTTACTTAAAACCATGGATATACAGTTGATTTAATCCGCTGATATCCGTTAAAACCGTCGGATAATTCGATTTTGTTTCTTTAATTAAAATAACCAATTTGACATTTTTTAGAAGAAACATACAAACTTACAAACTAAAATATCATAAGCTATTACAAACTTACATTCATATAACTTAAGTACTTAACTACTTCAGTAGTTAGACACTTAACAGTCGAGACCTTGTGGTCTAATGGCATTAAATGATCAAAGTTGAATTCTTAGATGAGAGGTTAGGGGTTTGAGTCTTAGTAGAGGTGGTAAAAAGTTATATTCTAATAGAGTTATGTGCCAAGTCACAGAGGCATTTACCAAAACTTACTGGAGTTGATGTGTATAATTGCACTTTTTAAAAGTCCATGGGCCTAATTGATTTATCAATCATGTTCTGTGAACCATATTTTGTCTACTGTAAAATAATGTACATTCAGTATAAAAATAATGTACATTCAGTATAATAAAAATCTATTTTTTGTTATGGTCCACATAACATGGTCCACACAATAATTTTCCTTGATTCATCGTGTAATGTTTAGATGCCTATTTGACTATTTTTCATATATTTTATATCTAAATTTGTCACAAACGGCCAACACTAACAAATGGACCTAGTCATTAGTAATTTATAAAGGTAAATGTTACACACTCCAAAATTACTACTTCCTATTAGTTATTTATAAATTTATTATCATGAATTACTAATGAATTAAAAAAAAAAATCCCGATACTATCTTGTAAAAAATCATGATTGTTTTTAAAAAAACCATACTCATAAAAAATATTATGGTCAAACAACATAATTATAACTCTTTCGGATGGAGTTCAAACTCTAATGGGAGAAAGTATGTATGTGCTCAATCCATTAATTATTAGTGTGCTTATTTTTAAAAAATTTTTAGTGTTATTATAAATTAAATTTTTACATTTATAATCCCCTTCATTAGTACTTTATGTATATACATACTCTACTTTATGTATATAAATAATTTACTTTTAGTATATTAAAAATAAAAAAATATATTTTATTTATAGTTTACAAAAATTTATAGACCATAGTCTATAGCATAATGATGAGAAGTAATGATCCAAGACCTTTTTATTTTTTATAATCATAAACATATACACAGCCCCAAATTATATAAAAAAGTGGCCTAATTAATTATCCATGGACATTTCTTGTGCTAAGCCCAATTTATTATCCATCGGCCCACGTATAAATATCCAAAGCCTAACCTTTGTTCGGACTTCGGACAGGCAGACCACACTGTACGCTCTCATCTCTCTCTAAACTATCTAAAATCTCCTCCGATTCCTTCCCATTCCTTCCCTTCGCCGGCTTTAAATTTCAAAATCTCCGACGAATTAAATTTTTATAAAAATCTCCAACGGATTAAAATTTCAAGAAAATCTCCCAACGGATAAAATTTGTAAGAAAATCTCCAACGGATTTAATTTGTAAGAAAATCTTCAACGGATTAAATTTTTAAGTCGGCGCCGAAGATCGTACCCGGCTATTTATTTTGGTTTTCCGATTGCCCTGTCTCGGCTATAGAGGAGGTCAGAGAAGGGAAGCAGAGGAGGGGGCCATTCATGGATTCGGAAGAATTGGAAGGAACTTCTTGAGATGCTGGCATGGAAGGAAGGATTCCCCCTTGATGTCATTGCCATCAATGGCACCGGAGGTGTCAAGCAGGCCTCACACCTTCTCAAATACGACTCCACCCTTGACATCTTCGACGACCACGCCATCTCCGTGGACGGCTCTTCAAATTCACGGACATATACGAGACAATCCGCGATCTCATCCCGGCGATCAGCGAGTCATGCTCGGACGTCTGCCGGAATGAGATCACACACGAGATCGCCGCCGCGGGAGACATAATCGGAGAAGCAGTTGTGAGCGTATTCTCCGATCAAAATCGTATCCAGCTGCAATCCCATCAACATCCCGGCAAGGTATTTTATTATTTTAATTTCTACGCAGTGTTTTCTTCAATCCAGTTGACATTATATTTGAATATAATATTCTTTATATAACTGATCAGGTTGAAGTGAAGGCTATGATGTGGGAGGTTGACAGGTAAATCACATTCTGTCAATAATGCTGTTGGTTTAATGAATCTGAACTTCTTTGTGGTGATCATGGTAATAATGGTAGTAATCTTAGATGTTTACTGTATACAATCATTGTCTGTTATTGAAAATATAGTCTACAAGTGTGAACATTCCTGTGGCTACTTAACAATAAGGGAGCAAGTCTTAAATGTGTGGTCCTGCATACATATGTCATTGCATAGCATATAATATTTTAGGGCTGGTAACAAGTAGTAGAATGTTGATGTTCTTTTACTTTTGGGATGTAGGATTTTTTTCTCCAATTTTCGTGCATTCTTCTTTTTTGGTTTGGATTTGAAAATATAGTCATACGAGTGTGAACATTTGTTAAGTGTTTGCAGAGTAATACAAGGTTAAGGTTAGATTCTAATACTTATGGTTTTTCGGTTCATCTTGAGACTTGCTTATTATGTTTGGTTCGGTACTACGATGTATAATCCTATCTCATGCTATGCAAGTTGTTTGCAGGATTGAGTGTTCATGTCATAGGATTGAAGAAGACATTGTGATTGCTGGGTCATTTCCTCCCCCTATTCATGATTCAGTTTGCTTCTGAACTTTAGATAGAGAGTGCTTTCATGTGAGAGTGCTTTATATCCAGTGCCTTCAATGCTCATGCTTTGGGAGCTTTAGCAGAGGTTGCTGGACCTGGTCTTGATGCCCCCATTGGTACCATCCTTCCTGCTTTACTCACTGCAATGGGCTATACTGATATGGTAGGAGCCTAATTTTTATGCCATAATGCCATTTACTTGGTTTCGTCTTTCACATCATTTAAATTTGAGTCATTGCTTAAGTTGATTTGTGTTTTTTTTTCATTGCATAATTTGCATGTGTCATGCTTTCACCTTGAAAATATCGGAGGTTCAAAGTCTCGCCAAGAAAGCAGCAGAAACTGTTGTCACTGTAATTGAAGAGGAAGGTATCAAGTCTTCGCTGTCGGGGCTTCTCAAAGGAGTTGGAGATATTCAGGCATGATTTATTGTTTTGAATAATGATAATGTGACTTTCTTTTCTTTGTTTTGCATTTTTAGCTAACACTATTTAAGTTTTATTCTTTTCAGGATTCAGTCAGACAAAGTTCTGCATACTTTATTGGATATTTATTCAAAACCAGTGATCTATATCTTGTTGTTGAGGCTCCAAATGTGATATCCATCCTGATTATTTTACTAAGTGATTCAGATTCAGCTACCGTGAAGGTTATTTTGATTCATTGTATGACATTTATACAATGCACTTCAATGTACTAGTTTATCTTACCATGCTCTTTTACAGGTTGCTTGGGAAGCATTGTCTAGTGTGATAAGTTCAGTTCCTGAAGAAGTTCTTCCTTCATATATAAAGTTGGTTCGTGATGTATAGAAACATGCCGGGAGGATCAGTTCTAATACCTGGTTTTTGCCTCTGGAAAGCTCTTCAACCTGTGCTTCCTATTTTCCTCCAGGTATTCCTGCTTAAATGTGGCTACTTAACAGTTAGGGAGCAAGTCTTAAATGTGTGGTCCTGCATACATACGTCATTGCATAGCATATAATATTTTAGGACTGTTAACAAGTAGTAGAATGTTGATGTTCTTTTACTTTTGGGATGTAGGATTTTTTTCTCCAATTTTCGTGCATTCTTCTTTTTTGGTTTGCATTTGAAAATATAGTCATACGAGTGTGAACATTTGTTAAGTGTTTGCAGAGTAATACAAGGTTAAGGTTAGATTCTAATACTTATGGTTTTTCGGTTCATCTTGAGACTTGTTTATTATGTTTGGTTCGGTACTACGATGTATAATCCTATCTCATGCTATGCAAGTTGTTTGCAGGACTGTTCGATCTAGTGCTCTTGCCCTTGGTAAACTAAGTGCACTCACAACTAGGATTGATCCTTTGGTTGGTGATCTTTTATCTGCTTTGCAGGTGACGTACTTCATCTTATGTTTCTTTTTTTGTTTCTTTTCTTTGGTTTTAACTTTCAAAATCTAATATTGTGGTGATATGCGCAGCAGGCTTCAGATATTGGAATTGGTGAGGCTATTTTGACCGCTTTGAAAGGAGTGATCAAACATGCTGCCAAAAGTGTGAGCAGTGCTTCTAGAACACTTGTAGTTACATAGTTTCTCTCTATCATTCAAATAAAAAAAAAGTACTCTGTGTTTGTGGCCTTCTTTTCCTGTGAAATTACTTCTAAATTTGTTTCTTATTGACAGATTGTTGATGCTCTTTACTATAACCCTTCATTTACGCTGAGCATACTGCAAAAGCTTGGTGCTACAGAGATCTTCAATCTTTGGTTCCATATGCTACAACAAACTAAAAAAAGTGGAGCTCGGGCTAATTCTAAAAGGTAGCAATATGTTGGTCTTGTAGTTCTTGTGGAGAGATGTAAAAGGCATAAGAAAAACAAAGCTAAGAGAAGTGGTGGTTTCTAATTCTTGCCATGTTGGTATTGCAGGGAGCATGAGAAGAAGGTTTGCTGCTTGGGCTTGACATCATTGCTGAGTCTTCCTGCTGATCAAATGCATGCAGCTGCCTTTGAGGGCATTTTTTAAAGGCCATTCTTGACCTCCTTGTATGCAAGCAAGGAGCAACTTGCTGGTAAGTAACCATTTTATTTTATTTTATTTTATTTTTTTATTCTATGTTTTTCCCATACTGGTTTTTCTATTTGTTTCATTTGCATTTTAGATGGTATATTCTGATTATTCTCTTAATGTTTGATATCATTTTCTACCTTCTATATCTTCAGAAGCTGCAAAGGGAGAGGAAGCTGAAGATGAGGCTGAGATGGATGGATTTCGAAGTGATGACGATGACGATGAGTCTGATAGAGAAATGGCAGATGATGACAAGGATGGAGATGAAGCTGACAGCCTAAAGCTCCAAAAGTTGGCAGCAAAGGTAACAGAATTAAGAGACAAATTGTATCATACCCATCTAAGCATCTTGTTCCTGCTTGTTTTCTGTTCATTTCCTTTGTGAAATTAACATCCATCTCTATATGCTGTAACTTTGTGGTTTTCAGGTCTGTTATCTGAATTTCCTGCCTGTTCTTGATTATTTTGTGTCCTAAATTCTTTTCTGCCCATCTGGTTTTCCCCACATTTTTGGGTTCTTTTTCCTTTGTCATTTTAAAAATGATTTTCAGAGTTATTTTTTTTAACATTTACATTCTTGATATGATTTTTCCTGAGGTTTGTTCAGTCTTATCTTTAATATTTTAACTCAGCATGGACATAAATTATAATTCTATGAGCAGTATACTATTGAGGAAAAGGTGATTGAAGAGCTTATAAGAATCTTGCACTTGATGCTTTGGTTATCCAGCAAGGAAGGCTGGCAGAGCAAAAGGTAAGGTTTCTCTCATGGTTTTGCTATTTTTGATATATAGCTGTAATCCGTAATAACTAATTTGGATCCTTAGCTTGACTCAGTGCAGCTGTAAGGATGAGCTACTGCAGATGGTGAGATTTGGTGCTGAGATGGTTTTCAGTTCCAAGGATAGCACAATCACAGATGAAGATATAGATAGGATCATTGCTGAAGGAGATGAGGCTACAGCTGAACTTAATGTCAAGATGAAGAAGTTTACAGAAGATGCCCCCCCCTCTAGGGTAATCTAGATCTCATTTTATGCAGCTGCTGATATTTTTGACTTTAATGATGAAAAGGTTAGTTGGTCTATGATCTTTTGTTTTTTTGAGGTTCTTTTTCTGATGCGGCCATTTCTGATATTTACTTGTTGCCGATGAAGAATGATAATAAGGTTGATTTTAAGAAGATTGAGCAAAAGCGCAAGTATGCTAATTGCCAGCTGACTAATAACATTATCTTTAAGAAGATTTCAAAATTTTCCTTCTTCCTCTTTTCGCCTTTCTCCTCATTTCATAATCTACTACTCTAACTCTATTTTTCTTTTCCTTTTCGTTCTAATATAACATTTATCAATTTCTTTCTTTTTATTCTATCCCCCCTTTCTCTCATCTTAATTTTCTTCTTCTCTTTCCCATCTTCCTTATTCGTTTCTCTCTTTCTTTCCTTCTTTTTCCTGCATGTTCTCCATCCTTTCTCACAAACCCACTCTAATTCCCATCCCTTCTCATTTTTTCTTTGTTGACCTTCTCACTCTCTCTCAAGAACTGACTCACGACGGGGAAGCCAATTTGGTATGTTTTGCTCCATCTGCATAGTATTCTACTGTTGTTTTGGGGGTTATGATTCTTATTACATTTTGCTAACTTCTCAGGGATCTGGTGACAAGCAGTCAGCTGTTCATGGTTCTGTTTCTGCTGTAATATCAGTTCTCAAGGATCCTGAAAGAAGCTGTCCTCACTTCAAGGTTTGCTCCACTCTGTGAATATCAACTTTGTTTATACAATTTGGTTTGCCTCAATTAAGTTTCACTGACAAAGCCAACTTAGTTTCACTGACTGCTGAGATTATTTAACGGGAGCATGCACCCCTTAGCCACCAAAAATAACTTCTCAGAAAACAGCCCAACAAACTGATGCTAAGAAGCACCAGACAGCTAAAGAAAGTAGCAAGTATGATCAGGAACCCCTATGCATTGAAGTCAGCAACCCAATCACAAGTGATAAGCATTTAATCCAGCTAGTGCATGAAGGTAGATATCTTTCTTTTACTTCCCATATTTGTCTTGTTTTGTTCTATATCTCTTTATTTTCGTGAGCTGGAATCTGTTTAATATGTTTCTTATCAATTATTGATTCACAGGAATGCAAATATTAAAATTACATCTGAAGCTCCAAATTTTGCTCAAGAAAATAAAGCTATAAAGAGGCAAAAACTTGAAGAGGGGAAAGCTAGACAGGTGGGTCATTTATTGACTAAAATTTTTTACCTTATTAAGTGTATCATTTTTCACATATTTTTAATCTGATCTCCTCAATTTGTTCTCACTTTTTTCTTAGATCCTTAGCATCAAACCCTCACTCTGTGCTTGTATATAATATGTTATGGAGTTTTCTCTACTAAAGTCTCCTGTTTTCTTTGTAGCGGCTATGTCGATCAACGGCTACTGAATTTCAATGCCAAGGTATTACATTCATATAATACAACAGTGTGCTGCAATAAAAAAAGGAAGAAATAATGCTAACTTTATTACTCAAAAATATTTCCCTGATTTATTATAACTTGGCGTTATGAATTTCTTGCTTGCAGTGGAATGTTCTCCATCGATTCCCAGAATTATTACTGGAATGGATGTTTCCCATGGCATTTTCAGGAAGTCATTCTTTTCACATAGATAGTATAACCAGCCTGTCACAGTATGTGAAGCCACTATTGACTAACTGATTTATTTGAAAAGCTTTTTAATGGAGAGATGGTTATTTTATTAATTTCAGCTTTGTGTTGTCTCTTCTGTTCTTTTATGCTTTGAAATAAATCTTGAATGCCTGTATATATAGGATTTCACAATTGGTCTGATTCTCAATTCTATAATATGGGCACCAATGCACTGGAATTTGCATAATAAGCCTTAACTTTTGAGCCATGTTGTTGATAGGAAGAAGTGACTCCTGACGGGGAAGCCAAGTTGGTATGTTTTGATCCATCTGCATAGTATTCTACTGTTGTTTTGGGGGTTATGATCTTATTACATTTCGCTAACTTCTCAGGGATCATGTAAGAAGCTGTCCTCACTCCAAGGTTTGCTCCACTCTGTGAATATCTACTTCGTTTATACTTTTGGTTTGCCTCAATTAAGTTTCACTGACAAAGCCAAAGTAGTTTCACTGACTGCTGAGATTATTGAACGGGAGCATGCACCCTTCAGCCACCAAAAATAACTTCTCAGAAAACAGCCCAACGAACAGATGCTAATTGCTAAGAAACACCAGACAGCTAAACAATAGCAAGTATGATCTCAAACCCCTCTGCATTGAAGTCAAAATCTGAATCACAAGTGAAAAGCATTAATCCAGCTAGTGCAAGAAGGTCGATATCTCTCTTTTAGTTTCCATATTTGTCTAGTTTTGTTCTATATCTCTTTATCTTTTGTGCTGGAATCTGTGTAATATGTTTCTTATCAATTATTGATTCACAGGAATACATATGAAAATTACATCTGAAATTTCAAATTCTGCTCAAGAAAATCAAGCTATAAAGAGGCAAAAACTTGAAGAGTGGAAAGCTAAACAGGTGAGTCATTTATTGACTAAAATTTTTTACCTTATTAAGTGTATCATTTTTGACATATTTTTAATCTGATCTCCTCAATTTGTTCTCACTTTTGCTTATGTCCTTAGCATCAAACCCCAACTTTAATCCATAAAACAAGAACTGGGAAATCTACCAGCAACTTGTACACTTCAACTGCAAAAACACATACAGAAGACAGAAAGGTTAGTATGCATTTTTATGTCTTGCATTTCATTTATGGACATTAATTTTCTGAATCTAATACATGGTGAAAATCTCATTTTCAGATTTATGTTCGTGAACCAGCAGCCCCATTTATTTCAATGGCAGAAATGATGAAGAAGTTCGAATCTAGTACAAGGGAGATGTCAATACCATGCATGAATTTTTCCATGTCACATGTAACTTGCTTAAAAGTTTTATTATTTTTCTAGTACGTTTTCTTTAAAAATTTGAACTATTTTTCAGGATGGTATGACTGGATCAGTGCAGAGGAAGCCTAAGATTGCACTGACAAGGCCTAAGGAACCTGAACTTGAAACAGCTCAACATTACTGTCCAGTAAAACTTAAGAGTTCAGCTGAGTTGGAAGAAGAAATGATGGCAAAAATTCCCAAGTTTAAGGCTCTCCCTCTAAATAAGAAGGTACCTCCATTTTAAGTGACCGCATTATTTTACTGAGTTTATACATCTTGCCTTAGTTTAAGAGACTGCTTTAGTATTCATGTCCTTTTTGTTAACTCCATGTGTTAATTTCCCTTTTGTTGAAAGTGTTCTTTATTGCAGCTTCGAAACCTTTCCCTTCTCCTCGGAACCTTTTCAGCTTATCCCGATAATGGATGTTGCCGTCGATTGGAAGAAAACTCTGGCTGGTATTCACGGATTGACAGCGTGCGTTTTCTTTCGTATGCTTTATTTTGATCTTTTTCTCCCTCCCTCTGCGTGCTTGTATATAATATGTTATGGAGTTTTTCCCTGCTAAAGTCTCCTGTTTTCTTTGTAGCGGCTATGTTGACCAACGTCTACTGAAAATCAATGCCAAGGTATTCCATTCATATAATTCAACAATGTTTTGCAACAGGTGTTATTAATCTCATCCTTCCTTCTCTTTCAATCTCTTATTCGTGTTGTTATTTTTATACTTTCTACCCCTTTCCCTCATCTACACTCCCTTCTCATTTGTACGTGTTTATCTTTCTCATGGTTTGAGGTATTTATTTTTCCCCCTCTTGTCCTCATATTCATGCTCTTTCTTCATTTCCCTGATTTATTATAACTTGGTGGTATGAATTTCTTGCTTGCAGTGGAGTATTCTCCATCGATAATTCGAAGGGATGTTGCCATGGCATTTTCAGGTAATTCATTCTTTTCACACAAATGGTATAACCAGCCTGTCACAGTATGTGAAGCAACTATTACTAACTGATTTATATGAAATGCTTTTTAATGGAGAGATGGTTAATTTATTAATTTCAGCTTTGTGTTTGCCTTTGTGAATTTGTCTCTGTTATTTTCTGCTTTGATATAAATCTTGAATGCCTGTATATATAGGATTTCACAATTGGTCTGACTCTTAATTCTGTAATATGGGCACCAATCTACTGGAATTTGCATAATAAGCCTGAACTTTTTAGCCATGTATAAGGATTGTTGATAGGAAGAAGTGACTCCTGACGGAGAAGCCAATTTGGCATGTTTTGCTCCATTTGCATAGTATTCTACTGTTGTTTTGGGGGTTATGATTCTTATTACATTTCGCTAACTTCTCAGGGTTCTGGTGATAAGCAGTCAGCTGTTCACGGTTCTGTTTCTGCTGTAATATCACTTCTCAAGGATCCTGTAAGAAGCTGTCCTCACTTCATGGTTTGCTCCACTCTGTGAATATCAACTTTGTTTATAGAATTTTGTTTGCCTCAATTAAGCTCCACTCTGGCCTGGAGTTGCAACCTTGGTGGTGGCTTCGTCTCTTCTCACTATGGATCTGGTATTCACTGATTTAGATTTGATATTGTGCCTTTTCTTTCTTATGTTTAATTTTGATCTTTTTTTTTCCCTTCACTCTGTGTACTTGTATATAATATGTTTTGGAGTTTTTCTCTGCTAAAGTCTCTTGTTTTCTTTGTAGCGGCTATGTTGACCAACGGCTACTGAAAATATCAATTGCAACCTTGGTGGTGGCTTCGTCTCTTCTCACTATGGATCTGGTTTTCACTGATTTAGATTTGAGAGTGTGCCTTTTCTTTCTTATGTTTAATTTTGATCTTCTTTTTTTCCCCTCACTCTGTGCGCTTGTATATAATATGTTATGGAATTTTTCTCTACTAAAGTCTCCTATTTTCTTTGTAGCAGCTACGTCGACCAACAACCACTGAAAATATCAGTTGCAACCTTGGTGGTGGTTTCGTCTCTTCTCTCTATGGATCTGGTATTCACTGATTGAGATTTGAGAGTGTGCCTTTTCTTTCTTATGTTCAATTTTGATCTTTTTTTCCCCTCACTCTGTGTGCTTGTATATAATATGTTATGGAGTTTTTCTCTACTAAAGTCACTTGTTTTCTTTGTAAGTGGCTATGTCGACCAACGGCTACTGAATATCAATGCCAAGGTATTACATTCATATAATACAACAGCGTGCTGCAATAAAAAAAAGAAAGAAATAACGATAACTTTTTTACTCAAAAATATTTCCCTGATTAATTATAACTTGGCGTTATGAATTTCTTGCTTGCAGTGGAATGTTCTCCATGGATTCCCAGAATTATAACTGGAATGGATGTTTCCCAAGGCATTTTCAGGAATTCATTCTTTTCACACAAATAGTATAACCAGCCTGTCACAGTATGTGAAGCCACTATTGACTAATTGATTTATTTGAAAAGCTTTTTAATGGAGAGATGGTTATTTTATTAATTTCAGCTTTGTGTTGTCTCTTCTGTTCTTTTATGCTTTGAAATAAATCTTGAATGCCTGTATATATAGGATTTCACAATTGGTCTGATTCTCAATTCTATAATATGGGCACCAATGCACTGGAATTTGCATAATAAGCCTTAACTTTTGAGCCATGTTGTTGATAGGAAGAAGTGACTCCTGACGGGGAAGCCAAGTTGGTATGTTTTGATCCATCTGCATAGTATTCTACTGTTGTTTTGGGGGTTATGATCTTATTACATTTCGCTAACTTCTCATGGATCCTGTAAGAAGCTTTCCTCACTCCAAGGTTTGCTCCACTCTGTGAATATCATCTTCGTTTATACTTTTGGTTTGCCTCATTTAAGTTTCACTGACAAAGCCAAAGTAGTTTCACTGACTGCTGAGATTATTGAACGGGAGCATGCACCCCTCAGCCACCAAAAATAACTTCTCAGAAAACAGCCCAACGAACAGATGCTAATTGCTAAGAAACACCAGAGTGCCAGACAGCTAAACAATAGCAAGTATGATCTCAAACCCCTCTGCATTGAAGTCAAAATCTGAATCAAAAGTGAAAAGCATTAATCCAGCTAGTGCAAGAAGGTCGATATCTCTCTTTTAGTTTCCATATTTGTCCAGTTTTGTTCTATATCTCTTTATCTTTTGTGCTGGAATCTGTGTAATATGTTTCTTATCAATTATTGTTTCACAGGAATACATATGAAAAGTACATCTGAAATTTCCAATTTTGCTCAAGAAAATCAAGCTATAAAGAGGCAAAAACTTGAAGAGGGGAAAGCTAGACAGGTGAGTCATTTATTGACTAAAATTTTTTACCTTATTAAGTGTATCATTTTTGACATATTTTTAATCTGATCTCCTCAATTTGTTCTCACTTTTGCTTATGTCCTTAGCATCAAACCCCAAACTTTGCTCCATAAAAACAAGACCTGGGAAATCTACCAGCAACTTGTATACTTCAACTGCTAAAACACGGACAGAAGACAGAAAGGTTAGTATGCATTTTTATGTCTTGCACATTTCATTTATGGACATTAATTTCTGAATCTAATACGTGGTGAAAATTTCTATTTCCGATTTGTGTTCGAGAACCAGAAGCCCCATTTATTTCAATGGCAGAAATGATGAAGAAGTTCGAATCTAGTACAAGGGAGACCATGTCACATGTAACTTGTTTAAAAGTTTTTTGTTTATTTTTCTAGTACGTTTTCTTTAAAAATTTGAACTGTTTTTCAGGATGGTATGGCTGGATCAGTGCAGAGGAAACCTAAGATTGCACTGACAATGCCTAAGGAACCTGAACTTGAAACAGCTCAACGTTACCGTCCAGTAAAACTTAAGAGCTCAGCTGAGTTGGAAGAAGAAATGATGGCAATAATTCCCAAGTTTAAGGCTCGCCCTCTAAATAAGAAGGTACCTCCATTTTAAGTGACCGCATTATTTTCCTGAGTTTATACATCTTGCCTTAGTTTAAGAGACTGCTTTAGTATTCATGTCCTTTTTGTTAACTCCATGTGTTAATTTCCCTTTTGTTGAAAGTGTTCTTTATTGCAGCTTCGAAACCTTTCCCTTCTCCTCGGAACCTTTTCAGCTTATCCCGATAATGGATGTTGCCGTCGATTGGAAGAAAACTCTGGCTGGTATTCACGGATTGACAGCGTGCGTTTTCTTTCGTATGTTTTATTTTGATCCTTTTCTCCCTCCCTCTGCGTGCTTGTATATAATATGTTATGGAGTTTTTCCCTGCTAAAGTCTCCTGTTTTCTTTGTAGCGGCTATGTTGACCAACGTCTACTGAAAATCAATGCCAAGGTATTCCATTCATATAATTCAACAATGTTTTGCAACAGGTGTTATTAATCTCATCCTTCCTTCTCTTTCAATCTCTTATTCGTGTTGTTATTTTTATACTTTCTACCCCTTTCCCTCATCTACACTCCCTTCTCATTTGTACGTGTTTATCTTTCTCATGGTTTGAGGTGTTATTTTTCCCCCTCTTGTCCTCATATTCATGCTCTTTCTTCATTTCCCTGATTTATTATAACTTGGTGGTATGAATTTCTTGCTTGCAGTGGAGTATTCTCCATCGATAATTGGAATGTTTCCCATGGCATTTTTAGGTAATTCATTCTTTTCACACAAATGGTATAACCAGTCTATCACAGTATGTGAAGCCACTATTACTAACTGATTTTTATGAAATGGTTTTTAATGGAGAGATAGTTAATTTATTAAATTCAGCTTTGTGTTTGCCTTTGTGAATTTGTCTCTGTTCTTTTATGCTTTGAAATGAATCTTGAATGCCTGTATATATAGGATTTCACAATTGGTCTGATTCTTAATTCTGTAATATGGGCACCAATCCACTGCAATTTGCATAATAAGCCTTAACTTTTGAGCCATGTATAAGTATTGTTGATACGAAGAACTGACTTCTGACGGGGAAGCCACTTTGGCATGTTTTGCTCCATCTGCATAGTATTCTACTGTTGTTTTGGGGTTTATGATTCTTATTACATTTCGCTAACTTCTCAGGGATCTGGTGACAAGCGGACAACTGTTAACGGTTCTATTTCTGCTGTAATATCAGTTCTCAAGGATCCTGTAAGAAGCTGTCCTCACTTCAAGGTTTGCTCCACTCTGTGAATATCAACTTCGTTTATACAATTTGGTTTGCCTCAATTAAGTTTCATTGACAAAGCCAACTTAGTTTCACTGACTTCTGAGATTATTTAACGTGAGCATGCACCCCTCAGCCACCAAAAATAACTTCTCAGTTAACAGCCCAACAAACCGATGCTAAGAAGCACCAGACAGCTAAAGAAAGTAGCAAGTATGATCAGGAACCCCTATGCATTGAAGTCAGCAACCCAATCACAAGTGATAAGCATTTAATCCAGCTAGTGCATGAAGGTAGATATCTTTCTTTTACTTCCCATATTTGTCTTGTTTTGTTCTATATCTCTTTATTTTCGTGAGCTGGAATCTGTGTAATATGTTTCTTATCAATTATTGATTCACAGGAATGCAAATATTAAAATTACATCTGAAGCTCCAAATTTTGCTCAAGAAAATAAAGCTATAAAGAGGCAAAAACTTGAAGAGGGGAAAGCTAGACAGGTGGGTCATTTATTGACTAAAATTTTTTACCTTATTAAGTGTATCATTTTTCACATATTTTTAATCTGATCTCCTCAATTTGTTCTCACTTTTGCTTGGATTCTTAGCATCAAACCCCAAGAAGGTAGATATCTTTCTTTTACTTCCCATAGTTGCATTCTTTTGTTCTATACCTCTTTATTTTGGTGAGTTGAAATCTGTGTAATATGTTTCATATCAATTATTGATTCACAGGAACGCAAATATTAAAATTACATCTGAAACTCCAAATTTTGCTCAAGAAAATCAAGCTATAAAGAGGCAAAAACTTGAAGAGGGGAAAGGTAGACAGGTGGGTCATTTATTGACTAAAATTTTTTACCTTGTTAGGTGTTTTATTTTCCACATATTTTTAATCTGATCTCCTCAATTTGTTCTAACTTTTGCTTAGATCCTTAGCATCGAACCCCAAACTTTGCTCCATAAAACAAGACCTGGGAAATCTACCAGCGACTTGTACACTTCAACTGCTAAAACACGTACAGAAGACAGAAAGGTTAATATGCACTTTTAAGTCTTGCATTTCATTTATGGACATTAATTTTCTGAATTTAATACATGGTGAAAATCTCTATTTCAGATTTATGTTCGTGAACCAGCAGCCCCATTTCTTTCAATGGCAGAAATGATGAAGAAGTTCGAATCTAGTACAAGGGAGATGTCAATGCCATGAATGAATTGTTCCAGGTCACATGTAACTTGCTTAAAAGTTTTATTATTTTTCTAGTATGTTTTCTTTAAAAATTTGAACTATTTTTCAGGATGGTATGGCTAGATCAGTGCAGAGGACGCCTAAGATTGCACTGACAAGGCCTAAGGAACCTGAACTTGAAACAGCTCAACGTTACTGTCCAGTAAAACTTAAGAGCTCAGCTGTGAGTTGGAAGAAGAAATGATGGCAAAAATTCCCAAGTTTAAGGCTCGCCGTTTAAATTAGAAGGTGCCTCCACTTTAAGTGACCGCATTATTTTCCTGAGTTTATACATCTTGCCCTAGTTTAAGAGACTGCTTTATTATTCATGTGCCTCTTTGTTTACTCCATGTGTTAATTTCCCTTTTGTTGAAAGTGTTCTTTGTTGCAGCTTCGAAACCTTTCCCTTCTCCCTCGGAACCTTTTCAGCTTATCCCGATAATGGATGTTGTCGTCGATTGGAAGAAAACTCTGGCTGGTATTCACGGATTGACAGCGTGCGCTTTCTTTCTTATGTTTTATTTTGATCTTTTTCTCCCTCCCTCTGCGTGCTTGTATATAATATGTTATGGAGTTTTTCCCTGCTAAAGTCTCCTGTTTTCTTTGTAGCGGCTATGTTGACCAACGTCTACTGAAAATCAATGCCAAGGTATTCCATTCATATAATTCAACAGTGCTCTGCAACAGGTATTATTGATCTCCTCCTTCCTTCTCTTTCAATCTCTTATTCGTGTTGTTATTTTTATGCTTTCAACCCCTTTTCCTCATCTACACTCCGTTCTCATTTGTACGTGTTTATCTTTCTCATGGTGTGAGGTGTTATTCTTCCCCCTCTTGTCCTCATATTCATGCCCTTTCTTCATTTCCCTGATTTATTATAACTTGGTGGTATGAATTTCTGGCTTACAGTGGAGTATTCTCCATCGATAATTGGAAGGGATATTTCCAAGGCATTTTCAGAGAATTCATTCTTTTCACACAAATGGTATAACCAGCCTGTCAAAGTATGTGAAGCCACTATTACTAACTGATTTATATGGAATGCTTTTTAATGGATTGATGGTTAATTTATTAATTTCAGCTTTGTATTTGCCTTTGTGAATTTTTCTCTATTCTTTTTTGCTTTGAAATAAATCTTGAATGTCTGTATATATAGGATTTCACAATTGGTCTTATTCTTAATTCTGTAATATGGGGTGAAATTTGCATAATAAGCCTTAACTTTTTAGCCATGTATAAGGATTGTTGATAGGAAGAAGAGACTCCTGACGGGGAAGCCAATTTGGCATGTTTTGCTCCATCTGCATTGTATTCTACTGTTGTTTTGGGGGTTATGATTCTGATTACATTTCGCTAATTTCTCAGGGATCTGGTGACAAGCAGTCAGCTGATTTAGATTTGATATTGTGCCTTTTCTTTCTTATGTTTAATTTTGATCTTTTTTTTTCCCTTCACTCTGTGTGTTTGTTTATAATATGTTATGGAGTTTTTCTCTGCTAAAGTCTCTTGTTTTCTTTGTAGCGGCTATGTTGACCAACGGCTACTGAAAATATCAATTGCAACCTTGGTGGTGGCTTCGTCTCTTCTCACTATGGATCTGGTATTTACTGCTTTAGATTTGAGAGTGTGCCTTTTCTTTCTTATGTTTAATTTTGATCTTTTTTTCCCTTCACTCTGTGCGCTTGTATATAATATGTTATGGAATTTTTCTCTACTTAAGTCTCCTGTTTTCTTTGTAGTGGCTATGTTGACCAACGGCTACTGAAAATATCAGTTGCAACCTGGGTGGTGGTTTTGTCTGTTCTCTCTATGGATCTGGTATTCACTGATTGAGATTTGAGAGTGTGCCTTTTCTTTGTTATTGAGATTGTTATGGAGTTTTTCTCTACTAAAGTCTCCTGTTTTCTTTGTAGCGGCTATGTCGATCAACGGCTACTGAATATCAATGCCAAGGTATTACATTCATATAATACAACAGTGTGCAGCAATTAAAAAAAAAAAAGAGAGAGAGAGAAATAATGCTAACTTTATTACTCAAAAATATTTCCCTGATTTATTATAACTTGGCGTTATGAATTTCTTGCTTGCAGTGGAATGTTCACCATGGATTCCCAGAATTATAACTGGAATGGATGTTTCCCATGGCATTTTCAGGAATTCATTCTTTTCACACAGATAGTATAACCAGCCTGTCACAGTATGTGAAGCCACTATTGACTAACTGATTTATTTGAAAAGCTTTTTAATGGAGAGATGGTTATTTTATTAATTTCAGCTTTGTGTTGTCTCTTCTGTTCTTTTATGCTTTGAAATAAATCTTGAATGCCTGTATATATTGGATTTCACAATTGGTCTGATTCTGAATTCTATAATATGGGCACCAATGCACTGGAATTTGCATAATAATCCATAACTTTTGAGCCATGTTGTTGATAGGAAGAAGTTACTCCTGACGGGGAAGCCCAACGAACAGATGCTAATTGCTAAGAAACACCAGATAGCTAAACAATAGCAAGTATGATCTCAAACCCCTCTGCATTGAAGTCAAAATCTGAATCACAAGTGAAAAGCATTAATCCAGCTAGTGCAAGAAGGTCGATATCTCTCTTTTAGTTTCCATATTTGTCTAGTTTTGTTCTATATCTCTTTATCTTTTGTGCTGGAATCTGTGTAATATGTTTCTTATCAATTATTGATTCACAGGAATACATATGAAAATTACATCTGAAATTTCAAATTCTGCTCAAGAAAATCAAGCTATAAAGAGGCAAAAACTTGAAGAGTGGAAAGCTAAACAGGTGAGTCATTTATTGACTAAAATTTTTTACCTTATTAAGTGTATCATTTTTGACATATTTTTAATCTGATCTCCTCAATTTGTTCTCACTTTTGCTTATGTCCTTAGCATCAAACCCCAACTTTAATCCATAAAACAAGAACTGGGAAATCTACCAGCAACTTGTACACTTCAACTGCAAAAACACTTACAGAAGACAGAAAGGTTAGTATGCATTTTTATGTCTTGCATTTCATTTATGGACATTAATTTCTGAATCTAAAACGTGGTGAAAATTTTCTATTTCAGATTTGTGTTCGAGAACCAGCAGCCCCATTTATTTCAATGGCAGAAATGATGAAGAAGTTCGAATCTAGTACAAGGGAGATGTCAATGCCACGCTTGAATTGTTCCATGTCACATATAAATACAAATAACTTGCTTAAAAGTTCTATTAATTTTCTAGTACATTTTCTTTAAAAATTTAAACTATTTTTCAGGATGGTATGGCTGGAATCAGTGCAGAGGAATCCTAAGCTTACACTGACAAGGCCCAAGGAACCTGAACTAGAAACAGCTCAACGTTACCGTCCAGTAAAACTTAAGAGCTCAGCTGAGTTGGAATAAGAAATGATGGCAAAATTCCCCAAGTTTAAGGCTCGCCCTCTAAATAAGAAGGTACCTCCATTTTGAGTTATTTTCCTGAGTGTATACATATATTGCCTTAGTTTAAGAATCTGCTTTAGTATTCATGTGCTTTTTGTTTATTCCATGTTTTAATTTCACTTTTGTTAAGAGTGTTCTTTATTGCCGCTTTGAAACCTTTCCCTTCTCCCTCAGAACCTTTTCAGCTTATTCCATCTCTTATTCCGTCTTGTTATTTTTTTCTGCTTTTTATCCCTCATACTTCCCTTCTCATCTGTGCGTGTTTATCTTTCTCTTTTTTTCCTTTTTTCTTCATTGTTTGTTTTATTCGTTGTCTTCTACTTCAAAATTTTCATTATTCCTCATTTCGCCTTTCTCCTCATTTCATAATCTACTACTCTAACTCTCTTTTTCTTCTCCTTTTCGTTCTAATATTTATCATGTTCTTTCTTTTTATTCTATCCCCCCTTTTTTTGTTCTTAATTTTCTTCTGTTTCCCATCTTCCTTAATCGTTTCTCTCTTTCTTTCCTTTTTTTTTTTCCTTCATGTTCTCCATCCTTTCTTACTCTCACCCACTCTAATTCCCATCCCTTCTCGTTTTTTCTTTGTTGACCTTCTCCCTCTCTCTCTCTATCTTTGTCTATATATATATATATATATATATATATATATATATATATTTATATATATCCTTCTCCATCCTTTCCTAGAATAATTCTCATACTTCTTTTCCCTTCCTCTCATGTTCTCATAATTTTTATAATTCTCTCTTTCTATTATTATCCTCGTCACCTTTCTTTATCTTCTTTTAGGTCATTCCTTAATTGTTATCTATTCATCCTTTTTATCCCTATTTTTTCCTTCCACCTATCTTCCCATTCCATTTTTCTTTATCTACACTTTCTTCTTCTCATCTTTCTCTTTTTTTATTATGCATTATTCTCTATGTCTTCCTTCTTTTTTCTTCTTTTCCTTATATTTTTTCTTCTTTTTGTTTTCCCCTTCTATTTTTACATCTTTTCCCCTTTTATATTAATTTTTATCCTCTCCTTCTTTCCCATTCTCCAAAGTCTCTTCGTCTTTTTATTAATCCTCCCTTTCCTTCTCCTTCCATCTCTTATTTGCCTTGTTATTTTTCAGCTTTCTACCTCTTGTCCAAATCTAAATTCCATTCTAGTTGTGCATGTTTATCTTTCTCATGGTGTGAGGTATTATTTTTCTCCATCTTGTCCCCGTATTCATTCTCTTTCTTCATTTGTCTTCATGTTCTTCATCCTTTCTTAAAATAATTCTCATACTTTTTTTCCCTTTATTACTCTTATAATAATTCTTTTTATTATTATTCTCATCCTCCTTCTTTATCTTCTTTTTGTTCATTCTTTATTAATCTTCCCATCTTTTTCATCATTTCACCCCTATTTTTCTTCCTTCCACCTATCTTCCATTTCATTCTTCTTTGTCTACTACTATTTTTTCTTCTCCTTTTTCTCTTTTTCACCTATCTTTCTCTCTATTTTGACACTCATTCTTCATTTTCCATATTCCTTCAACTTCTCTTTTTATGTCTTTTTCTTCCTATATTTCTTATTGCTCTTTCTCCTCGTTTTTTTAACCTACTGCTGCTCTCTTTTTCTTCTCCTCCTTGTCCTTGTATTAATTTTCTTTCTTACTTCTTTATCTTCTTCCTTTTCTTCTTCTTCTTCTCTTTCTCATCTTGCTCTCATTTTCTTCTTTTTTTTCCTTCTTTTTCTTTCATGTTCTCCATCCTTTCCTAAAATAATTCTCATACTTCTTTTCCCTTCCTCTCATGTTCTCATAATTTTTATAATTCTCTCTTTCTATTATTATCTCCGTCACCTTTCTTTATCTTCTTTTAGTTCATTCCTTAATTGTTATCTATTCATCCTTTTAATCCCTATTTTTATCTTCCACCTATCTTCCCATTTCATTTTTCTTTATCTACACTTTCTTCTTCTCATCTTTCTCTTTTTTATTAGGCATTATTCTCTATGTCTTCCTTCTTTTTTCTTCTTTTTCTTATATTTTTTCTTCTTTTTGTTTTTCCTTCTATTTTTCCACCTTTTCCCCTTTTATCTTTAATTTTTATCCTCTTCTTTCCTTCTCATTCTCCAAAGTCTCTTCGTCTTTTTATTAATCTTTCCTTTCTTTCTCCTTCCATTTCTTATTTGTCTTGTTATTTTTCAGCTTTCTACCTCTTGTCCTCATCCAAATTCCCTTCTAGTTGTGCATGTTTATCTTTCTCATGGTGTGAGAGGGGTATTATTTTTCTCTCTCTTGTCCCCATATTCATTCTCTTTCTTCTTTTGTCTTCATGTTCTCCATCCTTTCTTAAAATAATTCTCATACTTTTTTCCCCTACATTACTCTTATAATTCTTTTTATTATTATTCTCATCCTCCTTTATCTTCTTTTAGTTCATTCTTTATTAATCTTTTCATCTTTTTCATCATTTCACCCCTGTTTTTCTTCCGTCCACCTATCTTCCATTTCATTCTTCTTGTCTACTACTATTTTTTCTTCTCCTTTTTTCGGCAATTTATATCCTACACCACGTCGCGCGTTGCACTATGTGCCCAGATGCAAAACGACGTCGTTTTAATTTTTTTTTTTTTTTTTGAAATTTCCCGCCCCAGTGAATGGTAGTGTCTTTCTTTAAAAAAAAAAAACCCGATGTTCAAGAATGTACATAATGTTATACTAGAATGCACATATTGTTATACATGAATGTACATAATTATATAACAAAATATACATACTCTTTTTAAAAGATAATACACATAATCTAACATAATACATAATAAACATAAACTTTTAACATAATACACATCAACTCTTAACATAATACACACAAATTTTCTGATTCGGATGTACATAATTGTATAAAAAGAATGTACATAATTGTATAAAAAATACACATAACTGTATGAATCAATACACATAACATTGTGAACAAATACACATAACGTTGTGAACAAATACACATAATCTCAGCAACTTCCTACCGCGCCTCCCAACACTACCCCAAAACGACGTCGTTTTGGGAGGCGTGCGGCGCACAGTGCTATGTGCGCCGTGGTGTAGGATATAACGATTGCCTTTTTTCTCTTTTTCGTTCACATTATTGTATATCCTGACTCTTTCTTAATCTTCTCATCTTCTTCATCATTTCACCCCTATTTTTCTTCCTTCCACCTATCTTCCATTTCATTCTTCTTGTCTACTGCTATTTTTTCTTCTCCTTTTTTCACTTTTTCGTTCACATTATTGTATATCCTGACTCTTTCTTAATCTTCTCATCTTCTTCATCATTTTACCCCTATTTTTCTTCCTTCCACCTATCTTCCATTTCATTCTTCTTTATCTACTACTATTTTTTCTTCTCCTTTTTTCTCTTTTTCGTTCACATTATTGTATATCCTAACTCTTTCGTATTTTCTTCCTATTTTTTCTTCTTTTCCTTTTCCCCTCTTATTATTCTATATATATTTGATCTTTGATTTTTTTTCACCACTTTTCCCTCATTCTCCAAATTTTCTTAACTCAAATCATCTTCGTCTTTTTATTTCTCTTCCCTTTCCTTCTCCTTCCATCTCTTATTCCGTCCTGTTATTTTTTTACTTTTATCTCTCATCTAACTTCTCTTCTCATTTGTGTGTGTTTATCTCTCTTTTCATTTTGACCCTCGTTTCTCTTTCTCTCGTTTTTTTCTTTTTCTTCATCGTCTCACTTTTCATTATCTTTTACTTCAAAATTTTAATTATTCATCTTTTCACCTCTCTACCCATTTCTCTTTTTCTTTTCCTTTTTGTTCTAATACATCATGTTGTTTCTTTTTATTTTACCCTGCCTTTCTCTCTTCTTAATTTTTATCATCTCTTTTCCTTCTTATTGTCCAAACTCATTTTCTCACTCTCTCGTCTTTTTTTTTTCTCTTTCCTTCCTTTCTCCTTTTATCCTCATCCTTTTGCTTTCTCTCTCTTATCCTCATCCACCTTTTTATTTTTCTTCTCTTTATTCTTTTCATTAAAGTGTAATTTTTATCATTTTCTACGTTTTGACCCTCGTTCTTCATTTTTCATATTCCTTCATCTTCTCTTTTCTCCTTTTCTACTGCTACTCTTTTTTTCTTCTCTTTCTTGTTCTCATATTCATTCTCTTTTTTCTTATTATATCCCATCTTTCTCTTCTTCCTTTTCTTCTTCTTCTCTTTCTCATCTCACTCACATTTTCTCTCTAATTTTCTTCATTTTTCCCTTCATGTAGTTCATTCCTTATTGTTATCTACTCATCCTTTTCATCATTTCACCCATATTTTTCCTTTTGCCTCCCATTTCATTCTTCTTTATTTCTTTATTATTCCTCTGGATGAGTGCTTTTTGATTCATGAATTTGGACTTCTCTGTGGTAGGTCATGGTAATAACGATAGTAATCTTGGATGTTTACTGTATACAACTATTGTCTGTTGTTTGAATTTCATTGCCTGCCTGTTCTTGATTATTTTGTGTCCTAAATTCTTTTCTGTCCATTTGGTTTTTCCCACATTTTTGGGTTTTTTTTAGTTTTTAATATGTTTTTTTTGTGTGTTTTTAAGTGTTCTTTATAGTTTTTAAAAATGATTTTCACCGTTTTGAAGTGTTATTTTTAATTTTTAAAATATTTTTCAGTAATGAATTTGAATTAATGCTTTTGGTAGTAATCTTTGATTTTCAGTGGTTTGAAGTATTCTTTTTAGTTTTAAAATGCTTTTCAAGTCTTCTTTTTAGATTTAAAATTTATTTTCAAGTGTTCTTTAGTTTATAAAAATGATTATATAGTTTTCTCTTTTGTTTTAAAATGATTCTCAATTTTAAAAAAGGATACACCCGAATATGTGCCTAAAGTTGTTGACATTCTTGCTCAATTCTTTGGAGCATGTAATTTTTCTGTTTCATAACCTATGAATTATTGCTTGCCTAAAGTTGTTGACATTCTTGCTCAATTCCTTAGACTTTAGTTGAAAATGTGGAGCGCGATGCTGTACAGACGGCTCTTATCATAGAGCTGAGAGCAGTTTGTAATATGTAAATCATTCCGTGAGGTGGTTGTGGAGCGGTGGCCAAACCTAGATTTGAGGTTTAGGAGGGGGGCTTTGGTAGGTTTTTAACATATGTAAAAGTCTTCTCCTTCAATAAATACCCAATCACCTTTTTGTGTTTTGGTGTCTGTTCTTTTGTCCAACTCGTGTCAGTGACCTGATAGATACAGGACATATTTAGTGTTTGGCCATTCGCAGAACTTTAATTTTGTGTACCACATTATTTATTTTCCCTCCATTGTAGGGGAAATCTGCATCTTATGTTCTCCCACCCCCCCCTCCCCCCCCCCCCCCCCCCCCCAATCCAAAGCAAAGGAGAAAAATGGCGGCTAAAGATTTGGTTTTGCTGTGTTTGGTGGTGATTTTAGGCTCCGCTCAGCTCATTCATTGGTGGTGGTTTTGCTGAGGTATTCAAGTTCTTAACTTTTTTCCTTTTCTTGCTTTCCTTTTCCCCTATCACCTATAATAGGTTAGATTCTAAAAACACAGCAGATGTGGGAGGGCCTTATACAGAAGACTAATGATGGAGGCTTGGATGTTATTGATACCTATGTGTTCTGCAACCTCCATGAACCTTCACCTGGCAATGTATTAGCATGGTTTTCTTGCATATTTTTGTGCTTTTGTTAGTTCTTCATTTCCACCTTTGCCTGAACTAATGTGGTTTATTTTCTTCTTTTTTTTTTAGTCTGATTTTGTGTGAGAAATGATTTAGTTAAATTCATAAAGCTAATCCTGTGGGTTATGTGCAAGTTTATATGCAACAAACTGTTCTTTTTTTGTTCTTCTTTAGCCTAAGTGCCTAACTGTTGGCTTTTCCAGAAATATTTGAAGTTTTATGAAAAATATCTTTTGGTCAAAATATTTGTGTTTGTGCATTGACTCCATTGAAATGTTCTGACAAAAGGCTATTCTTTGTTTTGACTTTTTAGAACAGATAAATAATTGCAACGGATTTTATTGCGATAATTTCACCCCAATCAAAATAACAAACCCACATTATGGACCGAGGTATGGAGTGGCTGGTAATTCCTCTATATACCGTTGATTACTAATGTTTCACATTTCTGGTATCTTAAGTGAAGTCACTTTCCTCGGAGGCCCAATTCACCATCGACCAGTTGAAGATTTGGCCTTTGAAGTTGCCCAATTCATCCAAAAAGGAGGTTCCTTTGTGAATTATTACATGGTCAGTGACATTTATTAAAGTTTGTCCATTTATTATCTCACTGACCTGTAATAGAATTAGCTCCCTAAAGATGTTAGGCACTGTGTTCGAGAAAATTGTGTATTAATCCTGAACGATAAATTTGGTACAACAATGAATTTTTCTCTGCTACTGTTCTTTACAGAATGAGGACCTTATTCCTGAAATTGCTAACATGTTCTGTTTTCCTTTCTCTCGATAGTATCATGGAGGAACCAATTTTGGAAGTACGGCGGGAGGCCGTTTCCTGACTACCAGCTATGATTATGATGCTCCTATTGATGAATATGGTAAGAGTACTGAGATAATTCCTCTAAGCTTATTTCTTTGAATGCTTGTTTCTATTTGTCACTTTCGATTTTCCATTTTAACCAATCACATTTTCTTTCTTGGTAAATAGGTTTTGCTTAGCCAGCCAAAGTTATGACCATTTGATGGAACTTCATAAGGCGATTAAGTTAAGTGAGAGAGCTTTAGTTAATGCAGATCCGACTGTTACGCCGTTTGAAAACTATGAACAGGTCATTTCTATTTCCAAGTGATTCCTGAGAAAGTGTTGGCTATATGGTAATATGCTTTTTGTCATCAAGTCACCATCTGCACCTACCCCCCCTCCCCGTTGCCGGAAAGATGGCACGATAAAATGTTAGCTCTATTTTTTTGCTTCAGCTGTCTATCAAAGAAAAGTTTCTGCTGGGAACCCTCAGCCAAATTGGTCTGACTTTTGACTTGATAACCACAAGGTTACAAATTCAATTCTTAGCAGGAGCGGCCTGTATTGGCCTTCTTGGTTTGAGTTGGTTAGCTATTACCCTCAGGTACTAGTTGCGTGTTTCCCTCGTCACTTTAAAAAAAAAAAATAAAGTTTCTGCTGATGTAGAGTTAACATGTGTTTTATTCACGTGTTCTAGGCACATGTATTTTATTCCATGTCTGGTGGCTGTGCGTTTTTTCTCGCAAATTTCCATTTGAATTCACCTGCCACTAGGGGTGTAAATGAGCCGAGCAGCTCGTGAGCGGTTCGTTTGGTAATCGAGCTCGAGCCGAGCTTAGATATTCTAGGCTCGTGGCTCGTCTAGCCGCTCGCATATAATATAATATATATATATATATATATATATATATATATATATATATATATATATATATATATATATAATAATGATATAATAATAATAATAATAATAATAATAATAATAATAATATATAAATAACAATTAGAAATTAAAATTTTAAACTCAAAATCCCTAAAGATTTCTATTATTTATGTATGGATAAAACAAAGTAGTTTGAATTTTAAACCAAAAGCATTAAATATGTCAAAATCGAGCTCGAACTCAAACTCAAGATCGAGCTCGAACTCGAACTCAAGATCGAGCTCGAACTCGAACTCAAGATCGAGCTCGAGTTCGAACTCGAGCAATCGAGCTGCTCGAGCCGAGCTCGAGCAGCCCGAAAATTACCGAGCTCGAGCTCGAGCATCAGTTCTCAAGCTCGATCGAGCTCGAATTAACGAGCACGAGCTCAAGCCTATCCAGGCTCGAGCTCGGCTCGGCTCGTTTACACCCCTACCTGCCACAGTGACATTCAATCAGAGGCACTATGAACTGCCACCTTGGTCAATTTGTATTCTTTCAGATTGCAAAACTGCTGTCTTTAATTGTTGGCCTTTACTCACACATCTTAGGTCTTTTATGAGAACAATATCTATTTTCCCTCTATACAGTTGCTATACCTTCCATGTTTATATCGGGATACTAACATTCTCATTGAAACTTCTAATATCTGATTTTCGTCTCAGAAATAAATGGTTCTGAGAAAGAATGAAGAAATAAACTTTACATATATTGAGTGCTTGTTGTATATGCATTTCACCATCTGGTGGCTCATTATTTTTAGTTTTAAAAATGATTTTATCAAGGATTCTTTTTAGTTTTAAAAATGATTTTTAAAGTATTTCTTTTATTTTTTTAAAATAATTTTCATGTATTCTTTTTAGTTTTAAAATGATTTTCAAGCGTTCTTTTTAGTTTTAAAAATGATTTTCAAGTGTGCTCTCTAGTTTTAAAAATGGTTTTCAAGTGTGCTATTGTTTAAAAATGATTTTCAAGTATTCTTTTTGTTTTAAAAATGATTTTTAAGTGTTCTTTAGTTTAGCAAAGATTTTCAAGTATTCTTTTTTTAAAATGATTTTCAAGTGTTCTCTTGTTTAAAAATGATTTTAAAGTGTGGTCTTTACTCTTTAGTATAAAAAAAGATTTTGAAGTGTTCTTTAGTTTTAAAAATGATTTTCAATTTTAAAAAATGAAAAACACCGGAATATGTGCCTAAAGTTGTTGATATTCTTGCTCAATTCCTTGGAGCAGGTAATTTTCTGTTTCATAACCTATGAATTATTGCTTGCCTAAAGATGATGTTCTTGCTCAATGTACATTAATACCTCTATTCTTGTTCACTTTGACTTGCTTTGCCTCTCAATGCAAGGGTTTGTCTAGAAAATTGTCCAAATGATGAAGAATGAAAGGCTGTTTCAGTCACGGGGTGATCCCATCATTCTCTCTCAGATAAGGTTTCCATATTTAGCGTAATTTGATTGCTACCAAATTTACATTTCCGGGATTAATAGGATGGGATAAACATCATTCTCTATCAGGTAAGGTTTCCATATTTAGCGTAATTTGGTTGCTACCAAATTTACATTCCCGGGATTTAATAGGATGAGATAAAATGATAAATGTCAAGAATTCTTTTAACAAATCCCGGTGGATTCTAGATTGAGCTAGGGAATGCAGAGAGAGATCTTGACAGAGCAAATTATGATGTTCTTTAACATATAGTTCAGTCATTATAAACAATTTGGAACTGTGTCCACCTTGCAAGGTGGACCCGGTTCCACAGCATAACGATTGTCTTGATAGAGATAAGATATTAAGCAATCGTTATATCCTACACCACGGTGCGCGTAGCACTGTGCGTCGCACGCCTCCCAAAACGACGTCGTTTTGGGAAGCGCGGTAGGAAGTTGCTGTGATTATGTATTTGTTCACACAATTATGTGTATTGGTTCACACAATTATGTGTATTTGTTCATACAGTTATGTACATTTTTTATACAATTATGTACACTCTTTTTATACAATTATGTAATCCGAATCAGAAAATTTGTGTGTATTATGTTAAGAGTTGATGTGTATTATGTTAAAAGTTGATGTGTATTATGTTAAAAGTTTATGTTTATTATGTATTATGTTAGATTATGTGTATTATCTTTTAAAAAGAGTATGTATATTTTGTTATATAATTATGTACATTCATGTATACAATTATGTGTATTCTAGTATAACATTATGTATATTTTTGAACATCGGGTTTTTTTTAAAGAAAAAATTACTGCCATTCACTGGGGCGGGAAATTTCAAAAAAAAATAAAAAATAAAAATTAAAACGACGTCGTTTTGCATCTGGGCGCACAGTGCAATGCGCGCCATGGTGTAGGATATAAATTGCCGATATTAAGGCAAGAAAAAATGTGTTTTGGACCTTAGAAAAAAATATAAAATGGACTATGTCTTAACTTCTTATTTAAAAATGGTGTTTGGGCTTCAGAAAAAATTGATTCGTATCTTAACAACTTAATTACTCATTATATATATATATATATATATATATATATATATATATATATATATATATATATATATATATATATATATATATATATCAATTTAATTAAATATTTCAAATAGATTAGTTGAAATACAATGTTAATTAAATTTATAGTTTTTTGCTATATATTTTTAATATTTTTAATATTAGGCTAAATTAATGTTGTACCACGCACGACTACGGTGGATATGCATTGGACGTGTTTCTTTTCATCTTTTTTTTTAAATAAAAAAATCATATTAAATATCATTAATTATTGATTGCTATGATTATGCTATATTGTGATATATATGAGTAATAATAGCAATAGGAAAAAGGTTACAGCCATGGCATGTTTCGAATTTGGCTCATGTTTCCTTGATGCCTTTGTCACCTTCTTTGCCGCAACATTCGTAAACTTTTTCACAGCCCAATTGGTGGTATTCAGATATGTCGACGCGTCGCTACGACCCTTGGTTTCTGTTCTGGGTCATCTTTATTCTATCATTTTTTTTTCTTTGTACTATGTTTACAGAAACCAGATGCACGCAGCTCTATACTAGCCCAAAGACTTGTGTCAACACCCCAGCAAATCCATTATTATTTACGTTTGTTTGTGTTTTTTAAGGTTATAGTTTCTCGATCTTGATTTCATGCTCAACATAAGCAATCGTTATATCGTGCACTAGGGCGCACAATAAATGATATCATTTTGGTGCATTGTCAAAAAAAATTCTTTGTTTCAAATACACAAACTCATAACAGAATACACAGAAACTCATATCTGAATACACATAATCTAACATGATACATAATACACAGAAACTCTTAACTGAATATACAGAAATTCTTAATTGAATATACAGAAATTCTTAACTAACTAAATATACAGAAACTCTTAACTGAATACATAAAAACTCATAACATAAACACAGAAACTTTTAACTGAATACACATAATGGGATTTGGGACGTTTGGACGGACGCAGTGACATTAACAATTGAAATACGCGCGTTTTGTGCATGGGCACATATTGCTATGTGCATCGTGATGCATGATATAAATTGCCCGACATAAGCTGTTAAGGCATAATCATGAGCGTGGCCATGGGTCTATTATGGAGAACAATTTGAATTGTTTGTGTAATAAATCTCAGGATTATTGGTTTTGTGATTGATTAGGTTGTTAGTGGATGCAAAATATAAAATACAGAAATGCGGTATGTTTTATTCCATGGAAATAAAATTGACATATTGAGTTGTAAGTTTATGGACTCCACTACACCTCACCATAGATGTACAAGGTAAGGGTGAACATTTTAATTCGGGTTATATTTGAAACGAGTTGAGTCAAACAGTTAGATTTTAATTTATTATTAAATAAAAATCAATTGGTTGTATATTTTATAAATTGAATGGTTTCGGTTTAGATTTTTAATTACTTGTATCAAAAAAGCGATTCACTAATAAATTTTTTCTTTTGTAGTTAGTAGAGAGTTGAGGTTGGAGTGTAAGGATAAGTTGAGTGAGAAATGGATAGTTTCTTCTTCTTCATTGCTTACCCCTCTTGGATTGTGTGGCAAATTGATCAAGTTGGTGACTTGGGCAATTGCTGTACAAGTAGGAAGCATGAATAAATATTTATCAGGAATTTTACTTTTGAGTCAACTACAGCCAAGTTGGTAGGGCAGTTGATTTGATAAGTTCAACTGGTAATTGTCTATTGGTCTAGTTTACCTCCTTGTATAATCTTTTGCCGGCTAAAATCTCAACTTCATATTATGCACACTTTCAAATAGCAACTGCAAACTTTCTCATAAATCAAAAGATATTTTTGCTTTCTTTTTTTTTTTTTTTTTTTTTTTTTTTTTTTTTTACTTCAAGTGTGTTCTTTTATCAAATCAATTATTATGGAACATGTGATTTACCTCATCCACCCCATATGTGATTTACCTCATCCACCGCCTAAGAAAACAGAGAGTTAAAGCAAAGTAGAGATCCATATGCATCGAGGTAATAGGATTAGGTTCAAGGCTTCCTCCCCACGGTTTTGACTACCAA